CCGCTTGGCTCGCCCGCCGCCGGCAGCGGCAGCGGCGGGCTCATGGTGCTCCAACACCGCCGCTCCCGCTGCCCCGACATCCTCGCCGTCGGCCTCGCCGCCGGCAAGCACCTCCGCAGCCGCTGCCGCCACAACCCGTTTGCGGCCTGCGCGCAGTGTGGCGGTAGCCGTGGTGGCAGCGGCGGAGGCGGCGGCTTTGCCGCCGCGCCCGGCGCGTGGCCGCCGCCGCGACGCCGCCTTTGAGGCCGCCGCTGGTGGGGACCGTTCAGCCGCTGCGGCGGAGGCGGAGGCGGAGGCGGTGACGGCGTCATTGCCGTCCTCATTCAGATCGCCCTGCAGCTGCTGCGTATCCTGCCGCTCCTCTTCCTTCCCCCGTTGAGCCGGACGTTGCTGACCCTGACGCCTCCGCCGGCCGCCTTCGGCGTTACTCCCCACAGGCGACGGCGCCTCAACGCCTCGCCGCTGGCTGCGACAACGGCTACTGCCTCCGCCGCCGCCGCCGCCGATGCCACCCGCACTCGCGACGCCGCCGTCGCTTCCGTGTCCGCCGGAGACGCCGGTAGTGCCGCCACCGCTGCTGACTGTCGTACCATCCATACTGCCAGAGGTACCGTCAGATTGGCGTCGGCGGCGCCGCTGTTGCGTTCCCATCTTGGCGATCTCCTCAGGCCCCGGGAGGCTGATGTGAAATCGGTCCCAGGGCCAAAGCCGGATGAACTCGTCCGGCGGCGGCGGCGGCGGCTGTACGGCAGGGATGGCGGCAACGCCGTCGGCAGTGATTTCGGCCTGCGACGCTGGTGGTGGAGTGGCGGTCGCTGTTGCCGTACCTTGGGCGGCAGCGGCGGCGACGCCGCCGCCGATGCCGCCCTCCTCGTCGCTATCCAGGTCCAATATCGACCTCCACCTACTCGCGAGTGTGAACGTGCCACCGCCGCCACCGCCGCCGCCACCGCCGCCGCCACCGCCGCCGCCACCGCCGCCACCCTCGGCAGCATTCCGTGGCGGCGGCGGCGGCGGCGGTGACGGCACCGCCGCCACCATATGCGCTCCGGGCTCGCCGCCATTGCCTGCGCCGAACGATTGCATCGCGGTGGGGCCTGAGGCCACATCGCCGCCGCCGCCGTTGACATCCGCCGCCGCCGCCGCCGCCCCCTCCAGCCGCGCCTCCGGGACCTCACACCGCCGCTGCTGCTGCTGCTGCCTCTGCGGCATGATCCACTCCTCCGGGGGCCTTGTATGTGGAGGATAGTCCAGCTCGGACAAGGTGCCTAGGGCCGCAGAAGCCGCCGCGTCCTCCTCCCCCTCCCCCTCCTCGTCCTCGTCCTCCTCGTCTTCGTCTTCATCGCCTTCGGGGCCGAGCTGCATGCCGGCGCGTCTGTTCCTGGCTGCCGCCGCCGCTGCGGCCGCCGCCGCTGCCTCCGCCGCCCGCCGCAGGGAGTCCCGCACCCACCTGTGTCGTGTCGTGTGTTTTGTTGTTGTGACATG